CACCCCCCCCCATATGTCACTGCAGTAGGCTGGAAGTCTGAATGGGGACCCTCAGCTGCTCGGTCATTATTCACTCCTGCACAAATCCTTGCTGCAGTCCCCAGGGCAGACAGGGCCACTCTCTCCCTCGGTAATAACACTTTGTCACCATCTGTAACATTAGTTAATCTCTGGATTCCCGAACTTCTTATCCAGAATCTTAGCTCTTGGCCTCCCCCCGCCCTGCCCCTTTTCTTTAGGATGAAAGGCTAAAGGGTAGCTTGCTCTGTGCCAGAGGTGGAAAAACTGTGAGCTGCCAGGGAATCCTAAACTACAATTCCCTAATGCCTCCCTAATATTGCAGTTGCTAGGAGGGAGTTGCTGGGTAATTTAGCAGTCTCTGGAGGGCCACAAATTCTTCTTGCCTAATTCAGGCCAGTTTGATTTGCAGTGTGCCTCTACTTTGTCACGATCTTTAAATGTTTCTTCAATTTCACCCATCTTCCCGTGAGTACGCCTTCCATCTTACAGAGCTCTGATCTAAACAATCCCATCTTTCGTTTCAAGCTAAGATGAGCCAGGAGAGATTTGACGTTGCGGCCTTGCACGCCCTGCCGCAGCTGGCAGCCCAGGAGAGGATGGTAGATAATGGGGAAGGAAAAGTTGAGGTAAGAGTTATGATCTCTATTCTGCTGTGGAAGCTGGGTTCTCCCTGTCATGACTATAACCCAGCTTTTTTTCTTTTTCTTAAATCAGACCTCCTTGATAGGGAATAGCCAATTCTGCAAGCACAGATATGCAGTTTTGGAAATGTAGCATCGTTATCATTATCTACTGACTATAGAATATGAGTGTTTGTCTCTTAGATTTTGACATTTGGGGGGATTTACATTGAATCCATATCTGTGCTTATACACGTGCAGAAGTCACAGGTGCTTGAATGTTGGAAGTATGAAGCATATGCTTGCTGGAATTTGGAGTGCTTCCAGATGAGGCTGTTAATGTGCAAATGCCCTGTCTCAGTCACAGATTTTTACTGAAGGTCCAGGCAGGGTCATCATCAATTTCTAACCATCCCCCATTTTTCTACCATTTCATATATGTTCTTTTCTTGCTTACTGGTAAGGACCAATAGGAAATTCTAGTATTTGTGTGTCTCCTGAAATTTTAATAGGTCAACAGGTACAGGAAAGGTTGTGTATCCATTCCAACTATCAGTCCACCATGCAAGTGCCCCATGTTTTATATTCTGGGCTGTCTCAGGAAGCATAAAGTTAGGAAGACTACACATTTTTTATAACAACAGCTGTATCTACCCTTGGTTTGGTCATCTCTAGGTCTGGAGGATTGAGAACCTGGAGTTGGTGCAGGTGGACAAGCAATGGCATGGATTCTTCTATGGTGGAGATTGCTATTTAATCCTGTATACCTATGAACTGAAAAATAAGCCACATTACATACTTTACATCTGGCAGGTATGTGTAGAGTCTGAAATATAAAGCTTTTTAACAAGTGCGATTCAGACCAGAGCTGAATTGCCCATAGTTGACATATTAGAGTTTCATTTCAAGATTTATTTATTGCTTATACACTGGATCTGGCTGGTCAATCAATGAATTGTTCTCCAAGGTCTAAGTATATTTAGCTTGCACCAGAATTGGCTCTAAAATGATTTTGTTTCCTTGAGCCCTCTCTGCATTTTCCAATGTCCACAACATGTATTAGCTCTTCCAACAGAATGTCCTCCAAGAAGATGGCGTTGGAGACCCTGATTTGGAGCCAGGATGTTTAGGAACAGGTCCAGGCCTTTACTTCTGTGTCATTGCCCTGTTCCAATCCCCCACCCCCACCCCACTGTTTTTAGCAATAGGGGAGAAAATGTAAGGATACATGTATTTCAGTGAGACAATGTGAGGACAGGGAACTGAGTCACTCCTTTCCAAATGTGCTGATCTGAGCCATATTGCTTTAAAACTGAAATTTCAAGGCTGGCTGGAGATCAAGATGGACTATTTGCTTGTGAAGTGTAGATTAAATTATCTCTTGCAATTTATCCAACATGTTAGTACCTGCTATTATAAAATCTGAATTCAAATCTCTCTCTAACAAGCTTAGGTAGCCATGCTTCATGAGCTATTCTCGTGAAGGTTCTGTGAGGTAGATTAGGCTGAGAGATTCTGATGTCACAATCAGCCAGTGATTTTAGGGCTAAGTGAAGATTTGAACCCAAGTCTCTCCAGTCCAATTCCAAGACTGCCAGTAAGACATACATGTGGTGATTCTTACACAACGTAGGTGTAAGATGACAAGAGCAGCTACAATTACCTTCCAGATGCAGAACAGTAGACCTTGTGGTGTTTCCTCTGTGTCCAGGGACGCCATGCCACGGTGGACGAGCTTGCAGCCTCGGCGTATCTTGCAGGGGAACTGGATCAGCAGTTCAATGGGGAACCTGTGCAGGTCCGAGTGAGCATGGGCAGGGAGCCCCGCCACTTCCTGACCATCTTCAAGGGCAAGCTTATTGTCTTTGAGGTAGGAAACGGGCCTACGCGGCAGCTACTCTCCCACAAAAACCAGGGACTGAAACAGGGCGCTTGGCATGCAGCAGTGACAATAGTGATAGAAGATAAATATCACATTTACTGCAGACCTGACGCTCAGAGGAAATTGATGCAAGTGGTTTATTCACTGGTATTTTGCCGCCGGGTTGATTGCCAAAAATAGATCATTCATATTCCAAAAACTGCTGGAATTGTAATAATCAGGCTGGATCTCTTTTCATACAGAGTGGTAACGTTCAATAGCTCTTGAAGTTTCACCATAAACAAATTTTAAATATTGACTTTTCCTTCTCACCAGTGGTTTTCCTGTTAAGCATTTTCCTACAAAATATACAGAACTGGCCCTGTACATGATAAAAGTTGCTAGGATACTTTATGCTCCTTACTGAAAATTATACGTAATTCCTTCCGTAGAAGAAAGGCAGACTAAGATATAGGAACATGCATCAATGTCAAAAAAATAACTTTGCATTTAAATAACCAACCTGATAATGAATTTTATTTAACCTAGAGAGCATTTATGGAGTATAATTCTGCACAAAAACATGTACCACATCTGCAGTTTGGTTTTTCCTAACATAAGACTTTAAAATACAGGTGGTCCCCAGTTTAAGAACGAGTTCTGTTCCCAAGGTTTGTCCTTAAGTTGAATTTGTACATAAGCCGGACAGTAATATTGTATAATACTGAATAAGTAGTATTGTGTAATGAACCATTGTGTATTTAACTCAAATCATTGTGTGTTTAATTCGAATTTTGCTACAATAGGCTCCATTCTTAACTATGGGTCATCCTTTAAACCAGGTATCCTTAACCTGGGGACTACCTGTAATAGATTTTGTTTGATTCATTATAATAAGGACAGACTTCCTCAGATTAGCTAGAAACTCCCACTAACTACTTATTCAGATCGATTATTTTTAATTAAATTGCCTACCAATACTCATTTGATTTGATTTTGACAATAGCTTTTAAATACTAGATGGTAAGATTGGGGTTGACATTTTGTGCCGGTTACATTTCCTTTTTGGCTTAGTTTTCTCCTATGGAAAGCCTATGGGAAAAAATGAATCTGAGAGAAAATTTGCATTTAGGGTTAGGGTTAGCAGTCCCTGAAATCTAGGTTTAAAGTGAGCATGCCATTTAAATTCAGGGCGAGAATGTATGGATAGTGAGCATATTACATTTCATGGAGGAAAACTACAGGCAAAATATATTCTGAGCAAAAAGCACTTAGGGTTAGGGTAAGGCTCACCAGAAGTCTAGAATCAAAAGGACTGTGACAGTTAGATTTGAGGTGCTTTTTTATGCATCACAGGAATCTCAGATTTCCCTTTTGGCTCACTTTTCCTGCAAGGGAAAAGCTATGGGGAAAAGACATTCTGGTGAAAAATCTCCACACAGAGTTAGGGTTAAGATTCCCTGAGGTCTGGGCTCAAAATGAGTGTGAATGTTACATTTGGAGTAAAAACATAGTGGGACTCTTACATTTGCATTTTGGCTCAGTTTTACTCTTGGTGGAAAGCTATGGGAGAAACCAACAGTGAAAGAAAAATCTGCACTTAGGTTAGGGTTAGAGTTCCTTGAAGTCTAGGATCAAAACAAGCATAATAGATTCAGGGTGCCTTAATACTGATAGTGGGCGTCTTACATTTCTATTTTGGCTCAGTTTTATACCTGTAGAAAACCTATGTGAAAAAGCTATGCTGAGGAAAATGTGAGCTTAGAGTTAGTTAGGATTAGAAGTCTTTGAAGTCTAGGCTCAAAATAACCATGACAAGTAGGGTTGGGGTGCCTTTTTAAATATAATGGGCCTCATACATTTCCATTTTGTCTCGCTTTTAGTGCAAGGAAAAAAAACACATTCTGAGGGAAAATCTGTACTTAGAGTTAGGTTTCCTTAAAGTCTGAGCTCAAAACAACTGTGATTGTTATGTTTGGAGAAACTTTTCATGGACAGTGGGATTCTTCCATTTCTGCTTTGACTCAGTTTTACTCCTGGGGAAAAGCAAAGCAAAAAACAAACCAACGAAAACAAGCCCAACCCCTACTCAAGTAAAATCTGCACTTCTAGGTAGCGTTAGGTTTCTCGGAAAGTGATCATGAGAGAGATACCAGATGACATTTTATGGATAATGAGCTCCGTCCGTTTGCTTTTTGGCTCTGTCTTGCTCCTAGGCAGAAGCTATGGGGAAAAGACATACAAGATAAGAGAAATGATCCAGTTAGCCTTCGGGTTAGGTCAGGTGTCCCTGAAGCCCAGGCTGCAAATGAGATGGACAGATAGCAGCAGTATTACTCTTGGGAAACAATTATGGGGAAAAACCTCCAGTTACAGTAAGAGCTAGGCTTGTATTTTCATACTGGCTGATGGATTTCAGAATGGATCCTATTTCCTTATAGTTCCATCCTGTCTGTGGAAGAGGCAGGTCTTCTGGAGAGGCTGCACAGATACATCTGGGTTGACACAAACAGAAATAAATGATCTTCAAGAGACTACATAATATTAAGTAACTTACTGAATGTCTGGGGGACAAATACAGGAAAAGAATAAGCCCAGAGTTTCCCCTTCTTGCCTCATGACTGAATGTCCATTTTTATAATGAGGAAGATACTAAGGAAGTAGAGAGACAATAATTTGTTCAGATTAAAAGATTTTAGTATTAACAAGTCAAAATTAAAAGTGTTTGAGTCTTTTGCTACACAGCGCTCTTCCACACTTAACTGCTTTCAATCCCTTCAAATAAGCAGCTCAACAACCGAAGAATTAGGGAAACGAGGGAATTTTGAGAATCTGAAAATCTTATAATTCATAATACTCAACCTTTGTTAGGCACAGTTGATAGTGAAATATGACTCAGAATCTGAACAAGTCAAAGACTGTATGATTAAATGGGTGCAAAATTTGAATATACAGTACTTATAGAGATAGAACAGTGGGAATTCCAACGGAAAAAGAATATTAAATTTACTTCAGATATTATACTTGGAGAGAAGTGATATAAGATGCTTTACCTTTGGTATAGTTACTTCAGTTACAGTTGTTAAAATGAGCAACTCCTTTTCCCTGAATTGCTGGAAATGCAATGAATAGATTGGATCATTCTTCCATGCGTGGTGGGAATGTTCCAGAGCCCAACAATGTTGGAAAATAAATCCTCACAGAATACAACAAATTTTGAAAGTCATAATGTTATTCCATCCTGAGATTTTTTATTAATCTTGATTGATTCTGTGCCACCAAGTCGGTGTCAACTCCTAGCTACCACATAGATAGATTTTCTCCATGATGATCTAACCTGGTCCTTCAGGTCTTCCAACGGTGCACGCATCACCACTGTAACTGAGTTTATCCACCTTGCTGCTGGTTGTCCTCTTCATCTCTTTCCTTCCACCTTTCTCAGCATTAGAGCCTTTTCCAGAGAGCTAGGTCTTTGCATAAATGTGTCCGAAATAGGATAATCTGAGCCTGATCATTTGTGCCTCGAGTGAGAGCTCTGGGTTCATTTGTTCAATGATCCATTTGTTTGTTTTCTTGGCTGTCCACAGTATTCTCAGAAGTCTTCTGCAACACCAAATTTCAAAAGCGTCAATATTCTTCCTATCCTGCTTCTTCAGATTCCAACTTTCACTTCCATAGAGTGTCACAGGGAATATCGTTGCTTGTACTATTCTGACCTTTGTAGGCATAGACACATCACAACATTTGAATATATTTCCCAAGGCCTTCATGGCTGCTCTACTGAGTGCTAGTCTGAGGTGTATTTTTTGACTGCTTGTTCTTTTACTGTTGATGGTTGATCCTACAAGGCAGAAGCTCTCTACTACTTTGATATCTTCGTTGTCAGTTCTAAGATTGGTTGGTATACCTGTGGTCATTAGTTTGGTCTTTTTTATATTTAATTTTAGTACCATTTTTTCACTGTGCTCCTTGACTTTTATTACTGGAACTTGCGGATCCTTTGCATTTTCAGCTATCAGAATAGTGTCATCAGCATAGCACAAGTTATTGATGCTCCTTGGTCCAGTTTTAAAACCACTTTCATCTTCTTCCAATCCAGCTTCCCTTAATATATATTCAGCATATAGGTTGATTATTAAATTTTACTAAACCATATATTTTCTTAAAATATACTGAACTGGCATTGTATATGTTAATAGCTGCAAAGATTCTATTTGGTTTCTATTGGGAAAAAATCTCTGATTCCCTCTATGGAAGAATAGTTAACCAAATTTTGGGAATATCCTTTGATGTCTAGAATAACTGCATATTAAAAAATAAATCTGATGTACAATCTAAGCTTATTTGGAAACCATTTTTAGACTATAATTCTATGCATGGAATTGGGCCATATCCAAAATTTGGGTTTCAGAGTTTATACTGAAATTAAACATATAGCCTATATATTATCTATAGATTCTCTTAAAGTATTGTTTATTATTCATAATTTGTTTTCTGTTATTGATTTTAATTGTGTTAACCACTATTTTTAAAGTTCAACAGAGAAGGTTTTGATTAAAAATTGGGTATGGAATGTTTCATAATACTTTAAGATTTAAATGGTGCATTAGGATATATTACCCATATGATATTTTAGATTTGTTTGGTTATCTGAGATATGTTAGTTATCAGCCCCTATGTTATTCCTTAAATGGGTTTTATTGTTGTTATTATTAATCATCACTAATACATTTTTATATACTTTTAAACTTGTATTAGTATTATACTTTGCCTGAAAATTATAATACATAGCTTGTAAGAGTAATACATTAATTCAAACAAACAAACAAACAAACAAATAGGAAAAAGAGAAAAAATGAACTCCAAGCCCCAAACAACTGTGACACATATGTGTGGGGTGCCTTTCTATTAATAGCAGACCTTTTATATTTCATTTTCACCTCAGTTTTGCTCCTTGAGAAAACCTATCAGAAAAAAACTATATGTGGAAAATTCACATGTAGGGTTGAAATTAGAATTCCCTGAAGGCCTTACTTAAAATGATTGTGAGGGCTGGATTCAGGATTGTGGGCCTTTTACATTTTATTTTGGCTTCACTTTTTTTCCTGGAGAAGGCCCATGGGAAAAGGCTATATGAGGAAGTACACAGGTAGATTTGGGGTTAGAATTCCTTGAAAACTTTGCTCAAAACGAATCTGATGATAAGATTTGGGGTGCCTTTTAATGGATAAAAAGTGTTTACATTTTGGTTTTTCCTCACATTTCGGCCTGCAAAAAATATATGGGTAAACGTTCTATGGTGCAAAAATCCCAGTTAAGCTTAGAGTTATACTTCCCTGAAGCCCATGCTCAAAATAGGTCAGACAATTAGATTCAGGGTGCTTTTCCTGCATACTAGGGTTCTTCCCTCTCTGTTTACTCTGAGTTTACAATTTCATTGCGTTTCAAACGCCATCTAGGAGTAGAGTTAGTTTTTCGGAAGTCTGGCCCAAAAACTCAGATTCTAAGAGTCTATTGGCAGTGGGCCTCTAACACTTCCGTTCATCCTCAGTTTAGTTCCTAGGCAAAATGCATGGGAAAATGCTGTTGGGAGGGCAAACACGACCTAGGTGTAAGGTTCAGCTTTCTTGAAGTCAGGGTGAAAATCTAACATTGTGGTTTGATTTGGGGAGGTTCTTTTCGTATAGTGGACCCCTTTTCTTTCCGTTTTCCCTCCATTTCATTCCTAGACAAAATGCATGTGAAAATCCTATTGGGAGGGAAAAGTCCACCTAGGGTTATGGTTAGGCATCCTTGAAGTCAGAGAGGAAATCCAACATCACAGTTTGATGCGGGGAGGCTCTTTTGGTATTGTGGACCGCTTCTGTTTCCATTCTCCCCCAGTGTAGTTCCAGAGGGATCTGTAAGGGAGAATCTTATTGGGAGGGAAAAGTCTACTGAGCATTAGGGTTAGGCTTCCTTGAAGTCAGGGTGAAAAACTAACATCATAGGGAGATTTGGGGAGGCTCCTTTTGTATAAAGGTCCTCTTCTGTTTCTGTTCTCCCTCCATTTTGTTCTTAGGCAAAATGGATAGGAAAACTTTACTGGAAGGGAAAACTCCACCTAGGGTTAGGGCTAGGATTCCTTGAAGTCAGGGAAGAAATCCAACATCATGGTTAGATTCGGGGAGGCTCCTTTATGATAGAGGATGTCTTCAGCTTCTGGAAAATGAAAGGGTACACACTATTGGAGGGAGAAGACCCCCTAGAGTTAGGGTGAGGCTTCTGTGAAATCAGGGAGGAAATACAACATAATGATTTGATTCAGGGAGGCTCTTTTGGAATAGTGGACCTCTTATGTTTCTGTTCTGCCTCAGTTTATATACAATGCAAAATGCATGGGAAAACCCTATTGGGGGACAAAAAAACAAAAAGCGTGGGGACGGGGAGTAAAGACAAAAAGTAGTGGGAAAGTTTCACATTTTGAAAGAAAGCTTTGCGGGAAAGATAATTATAGATCTGACGTCGGAGGGGTGGAAGAGAGGAAATTTTGCTTGATGTTTCAGCCATGTCTGTGCCATGTTTTAGCATTAGATGGTATATGGGCTGAAGCTGGCAAGATGGAAAACAGAGTCTCAGGTCAGTCAAGACTATTATGAAAACATGGTACTGGTGCCCTCTACATTCTAGACTAGAAAAAGAGTAGCAAAAAGTATATACCTGATTTCTTCCAAAAAATGTTAATCTGGATTCTTGTTTTCTATAGTAACTGATCTTCTGCAGAGGTATGACTTCTTCTAGTTTGCAATATAGCTTTTATCAAACTGTGTCTACACCAGTTCTTACAAATGGCATGCTCAGTTAGGCAGCAGAAGTGTGTGTTAGTTCCCATCAGATACAGGAAAGTAATGAGGCTGTACCAGGAATGCTCTCCAAGGTTGTTGGCAAGACGAGACAAGGTTGTCCTTATTTCAAAATATCTAATCCGATAGTTAGATATGAAAATGCTTCCATCCTTGTGAGATAAATGGAAATTATTCAGCTAGTTTTAACCCTAATAAAACGAGATAATCTTGGTAATAAAAGTCTAAATTACATGGTATCTTCCAGTTGTTTAGGCCTATAGCTCCCAGAATTCTTTGCCATCAACTGTGCTACCCAGGGCTGATGGGAGTTGAAGTCCAGAACATCCAGAGGATGCTTTGTCCCTCTTGCATCACATGATCTGGCTTGCAGCAAAGTTGGTTTGTTCTGCCTTTTTGTCCCCTTCTCTGCAGGGTGGGACATCCAGGAAAGACAGAAATGAATTGGAACCTCCAATAAGGCTCTTCCAGATCCGTGGAACAGAGACCTTCAACAGAAAAGCAGTGGAGGTGCTGGCTTCTGCTGCGTCTCTCAATTCCAATGATGTCTTCTTGCTGAAGACACAGGGAGACCATTACCTATGGTACGGCAAGGTGAGACCAGGAGTTGAGGGAGTTGAGGGAGGAGAGGATTTCTACATTAGCCTTCCATTAACTTCCAAATCAATTAAGACAATGGCATTATTCTACTATTTTACATCAGAGGGAAGGGTGTAAATTCATACATAAACAATGAAAAGAAAATGATTTAGTATTTGGCATGTACAATCCAGGCTTTGGGGGAAGAGGGAGAATTCACTGACTTTTATTTAACCAAAAGTTTGAGGAGAGATGCAAAAATACAGTGGTACCTCTACTTACGAACTTAATCCATTCCGT